CACTCAATTTCCATCAGTTGTTGTTGTTTATTTTGATTTGAAATCAAATTCTGAATTATAAAACATAAGACCTAAAATTATTGTGAGAAATTACACCAACGGTTTTGAGCCAGTTTTTTATGGCTTGGGTCTCGAGAGGAACAGCAAATTTGAAGTGTGTCTTCTAAGAGGGCGTCCATTAATTTCGAACGATATTTGTTTTTCAAAAAATTAATCTTTGAGAAAGATGTTTCACGTACGTATGTCGAGCCAAACATAGTAGCCAAATTTATAGTTACTTTCTTGCAATTTTCATATTTTTCTGGGTCATGTTTGGCCCAAAATTCTTCAGTGGATACCGTTTTATACATTTGCAAAGACACATCTTCTTGATGCCTTTGCTCGTTTTATTCTGTTAAACAACTTGGCAGCCACAACTGTCCATTCTGCTGCTAAATCAACTTCAAATGGCGTTCTTCAGAGTTCTTTCTATATTAGAAAATTGTCGAAAAATTTATAGATTGCTGTGCTGCCAAATCTTTTTCAAATATATCCAGCTTGCGACGAAAAGCAGACACGCTTTGTATCAGATCATGATTTTTCATTTCACGAGCCTCACTGCCAAGAGGAAAGTTTTTATGAAAGTGCTGATGAGTTGTTTCGTAGTGTCGCTTCAAATTGCCACTCTTAACAATATCGACAGTTTTATTGCATATAAGACACACTGGAACCGCTTGAGACCTATCAAGCAGCGTAAAACAATATTGTTCAGTTTATTCTGCCAGAAACCTCCTATTTTCGCAGTCCAATTTACCAATTTCAGGATCCATATTAGCATAGGTACGAAAATATTAGAAAATGCGAAATATGGTTGCCATGCGGTTTGCCCTGCGACTTACAGTCTACTTTTCCCCGCACACACGCCTGCACTCGCTCGCGCTTGTTTCAACTAAACAAAACAGTCGCAAGTGCGCAAAAATATACACACACACACAGGCTAGATAGAAAACTAATGAAACTTGAAAAACAGGTTGACTAGGCAACTCGAAATAAAATAAGTACATACAAAGTTGAATTTTATGTAGTTCAAAAATAATACTTTGATCAATAAACGTTCCTTCTCTAATAGCGCTGTAACCGAGTACAACTCATATCTTGATTAATTGAAATTACTATCTGTTTCTGCGTTTGAAATTAAAACGAAAGCCATCCTCTTCGGTAAACAATGAATCTGACTGAATTGAATTAAATAAAATTTAATTGAACTTAATTAAATTATTCAAGTAATTTTACTTCATCATGTTTTTCTTATTATTATTTCACTTACCTACATGTACTTTTGTTTTATGATGTTAAAACCTAGATTAGGTCCTAGTTTTGAGTTATGCTACTGTACGACTATTTATACATACATGTATAAAAATAGTCTTGGTTGAGTGGTAGAATAGCGTAAGCTGAACTCCGCCAAGATAAAAATAAAGACCATTTATTATTATTATTATTATTAATAATAAATATTACTCAATTCACCCCAGAATAGCAGAAAAAGCACTTCGATTATATTTACCTTTCTCAAGTACATATTTGTACGGAAGGGAATTTTCTGCTGTAGTTGCGATAAAAACCAAGTACCTATAGAAATAAACTTGACATTGGTAGTGATTTGCGTTGTGCAATCTCTATGGTTAAACCGAGAATTGTAAAGCCGGGAACACATTGTTCTGATGCTACACCACGCCACGCCATCCGACATAATGCGTCAGAGATGTACTTCGTGCACACTGTTCCCACGTCATCCGATACAACGCGACGTTACTTTACATAATGAATGATAGAAAATGAGACCAGTTTGAGTTCAGACACTATGGCGAATAGTAGTTCCTCCGATGAGTGGGAAAAAGAACTAGAATGTGCAGCATCAGCTTTACTGTTATTAGAACGGAAACAAAGAAGAAAATGTTGGGTACATCCAATAAATTTGGAACGTCACTTTCATGGAGAATATCATACGCTAATTGACCTTCTCGAAATGGGTAACAATAGTGACCGGTTCCACATGTATTTTCGAATGAACAAGGAGCAGTTTGAGAATTGGCATTCACTGGTGGAAATGAATATTAAAAAAATAAATACAACCTTTAGAAAGGCCATATCAACCAAAGAGCGACTAGCGATTTGTCTACGGTAAGAAAAACGTTTATTTGTTTTTAAATTTATATCTGTATTTTTGAAGATATTTACTTCTTACATACAAACTATAATATTATGTAAAAAAAGAAAGTTAATCCTAAAAACACCGAACTTTAAATGAATCAAATATGTTCTCAATCAAAAGAACGTATTTAATGGTTGTAAGGATTTCAGGTACAGGGATCATGTTAAAGTGTTGTGTACTATATGTGAGCGTCTTGAGCCAGATGTTCTATCCGACAAGTTAATCCTAAAAACACCGAACTTTAAATGAATCAAATACGTTCTCAATCAAAAGAACGTATTTGATGGTTGTAAGGATTTCAGGTGGAGGGATCTTGTTGAAATGTTGTGTACTGCATGTGAGCGTCTTGAGCCGGATGTTCTATCTGACCATAATTGTCGTAATTAATTAGTGAAAATGGCTGGTTTGATGTAGATGCTTGTGAAAAAGGCCTAGGAGGAGGTGGAGAAAATCGCTGGTTTGATGTAGATGCAGTAGAAGTGAATTAAGGAGGACTGGTTAATGGTATGGCTGTTTGATATGTTTGGGGTCCTTCCTGACTCCTCATTTGTCGAATTTCTGCTTCAGAAATCATAGTACACATGTTCATTCTGATAGTTGCTTGATCTATTGGAGACAGACTTTTAACAGTCTTAACCATGCTCAGAAAAAACATGCCAATTTCATCGAACGCAGATTGATATCCTTCAGGTTTTGGTACATTTTTGTACCTAGACCTTCGAAGCTCAGCATTCTCTTTCATTATGTTGACCAATTGTTCAGCTGAAATTGATGTTTGTCTACGTGTAGGCGTTTGTCTCTTTACAACCAAGTCAATAGAATTGCGAGAAGTGGTAGGATTGTTGACACTCAATTCCTGTTCGTCTTGAAATTCTGTTGTTCCGTGAACTACATCCTCATCCTCTTCGTCATTCAATTCTTGGGTTTCTTCAATTAAATTTGTTTGCGTTTGCCGAGTTTCCAAATATGGAAAGAGAAATTCCATTTCCTTTTCAAACTTTCATTTTACAAGTTTAGTGGCAGCTTGCCCACTTTTTGTTTTACGTCTCTTTTGAGCATTGATAAAACAGTTCCTTAACTTATTCCAAGCTGTTTTTAAAGCATCCCCTAAAAAATATATATACTCTATCTGATGAAATTAATCAAAATGAACAGTTTATTAAAAATTACATTTTTGTTTTAGATTCCTTGCAACCGGAAACTCATTCAGATCTTTGGGCTTCAATTACAGAATGGGGTTCAGTACAGTACGGCAAATAATTAAAGAAGTATGTCAGGCAATTTGGCGAGTATTGAAACCCATGGTGATGCCATCACCGACTACTGAAATGTGAAAAGATATTGCCCAAAGTTATGAACGACTATAGAACTTTCCGCATTGCTTGGGAGCGTTAGATGGCAAACATATAAATATACGTTGCCCTATTAATGCTGGTTCTGAATATTACAATTATAAAGAGGTCCAATCAATTGTTCTGCTGGCCCTTGTTGATGCCGATTATAAGTTTATTGTGGTCGATGTAGGAGCATATGGAAAAAACAGCGATAGTGGCATCTTTTCAAATTCTTTGTTAGGCAAATCGTTAGCTAATGACACATTCAATATACCTGCCGATGAGAAACTGACAGCAAATGGAGAAGAATTACCTTACGTTATAGTAGGCGATGAAGCATTTCCGTTAAAATCTTATCTTCTGCGCCCGTATAGTAGAAGAAATCTTTGCGGAGATGAAGCCAAAAAAATTTTCAACTACCGTCTGTCAAGGGCACGAAGAGTAGTAGAAAACAGTTTTGGGATTTTAGCTGCTCGCTGGAGAATTTTTCTTCGATACATAGAAGTTCAGCCAGACACAGCACAAGATATTATTTTAGCAGCTGTATGTTTGCATAATATGTTATGTCAAAAACGTGACTTTGAACCGGAAAATGATTATTCAAATGGTTCTGATTTTTGTTTTACTTCAGTACTACCGCTTCGGCAAAATTGCACAGAGCGGGCAATGTTTGTCAGAGATAAATTTGAAGAATATTTCAACTCCCAAGAGGGCAGCGTACCTTGGCAGACCCAAACCGTAAGACGCGAAAAAATACAGTGAAGTTGTAAAAATATAGTATTAATAAAAAATGGTTACATAATTTGATTTACCTGCTATGTTCATATCCAGAGCAACTTCCTCCCAAGCTTCTCTATGGTCTCTATAGTGCCTGCTTCTCATATTATAAACACACTCGTGCTTCCGAACCAACTCAATTAATAAATTTTCATCGATTTTTGCCGCCATTGTATATATATGATGCCACCTTCGCGTTACTACACCTTACGACGCGGTGCCACGCGACGTGATATTATATGATAAAAATCAGGCAAGAAGGGATTCGCACCATGTCGGATGGCGTCGAGTCGCGTAGGATGGGATTGCATCAGAACAGTGTACACACAATATATAAATATGCATTACAATCAAAGGTGTCAGATCCTTCTGACGTTGTGTCGGATGGCGTGGCGTGTTGTAGCATCAGAACAATGTGTTCCCGGCCTAAACCTCGTCAAATTCATGCAAGCTATTCGTCACATTCCAATAAATAGGGACTACTTAGCAAATACTTTTTGTGTGAATTTTCGTTAACTTTATAGTTTATCGATCAATGAAAATAGTTATTTTGTTATTGAATACTTTTTGATTCTGATCTGATAATCTGGACAGGAGGATGGGGAGCGTGAAATTTTGTATGGTCGAAAGGTGGCGTGTTCCAAATAAGTTAGGAAACCCCTGTGTTGGATATATAAATCTCGATCTCAACTTACCCGCACTATGTTCGTCTATGAGCAATGTGTCTGTGGTGTTCAGAACTTCCGTTCCTATGCGGAATGCTTGCAATAGAAGCTGCGTAGCTTCCAAACTTTTCGACAAAGATTGAGCAAGTTGTTTCGGAATATCTCCGAAAGGTGATATGAAGTCAATTGACTTTTTCAGACACGCCTTATAATTCAAAGTGAAGTCTTTGTTTGATATGTCGGCGGAGTGATGGTAGGCCAACGGAAAAAGTTCTGTGAAAAACGACGTTACACTGGCGACGATTTCTTCGGGGCTTACGGCCGGCTTGGCTTCCGTGGAATCGATCACTACGTAGTTCATGATTTCCCTGTAGAGGTTTTCGATTGGTTTCCGGGATAGGACTGCCATGCCTTGGTACACATGCCAAAAGAGTAGCAGGGTTTTGTTCTCTGATTGACGGGCCAGTTCGGATACGTGATCTGGAAAAGAAAACCCGTTTTAATGTGTCTAGTAAACGGCGAGGAAATAATTAATTAATTTTGTTATCTTTCTCATGGGTTTGAGCAATACGCAATATTTGCGGTGCGTTCATTCATGTGGCAGGAAGTGAGTGGAGTAAACGTCCATATGAGGACGATGTTCAACACGACAAGATGAATGTTATTTTTTATTTCAATCTATCACAAAATCAAATGAATTTCTAAAGATAAATTGGACTTCTATAGAACCGACTGAAAATTCTTGATTCATTCACAATTCGAAACTAATTTTCATATTAAAATCTTCATAATGTCACAAATCAGGATTAATTATTTTCTAAAAACAAAATTTCCAAAACTGTAGTAGGTTGAAAGAGCTGTGTCAGTTATTCATTTATAATGGAGAAATGAATTTTTCAACATACAAAGAAAGGAATAAAAACATTGTATCAACCAATATTTCTTCAGCTGAAATTTGAACACATACCAATTCACTAGCAAGTTTACTTTTGTGAAGACTTTTCCATACAAGCGATATCTTACTATAAAAAATGCATGTGCAGAAAATAGACAAACAAATTTCATCAATTTCCAAAGGTTACAACATGCACTTTGGGATTCCGAAAACTTGGCTTGAGTAAGTATGGTGCATAACATTGACATTTGAGCTGAGCTTAATTTTTCAACGAGGTTTAGTAAAGCTTGGATTTGCATGATATACTAGAAATACGGACAAAAATTGGGGTACAAAAAATAACGTTAACAAATAAGAAAACTGAACTGCATAGCATGATAATTATGATACTACAAATGGTAATCCTTATGTAAAAAGCTTGCCTCGTCATCGGCAATGTGTTCTTGGCAGACAGTGACAGACGTCGTGGCGGATGCAAATTGTACATGCTCCAGGCATTCCACAGGACTTTGTGAAGAATTGGGGTAACAATGTTCTTATGTATCATGCAGGCTCTCAGTGCGTATGTAGGTAACCTGTAGGCTTTAATGTCACCAACTGTGTTAGCTACTAGCCCGCATGTCCTTTTCACCCTGTATCCTTGCAATGTCAAGTGTTTCCAATGAAAGATATCTGACAACTCCACATGAGAACGTTGCCTATACCATGACGCATTTAGGTGCTTCGAAAATTTAAACAATTTCCACTTTTTTTTGTTTCATCTCGGTGTGAAGTCAAAGCAGTAGCAACCAATAGTAGGAGAGCGAGATGTGCACTCCACGGCGTGTGGCTGTGTAATGCATATTCTTCAGTGTGTCCTTACCTCTCTCGATGCCGTCCCCCACCACTTGACACCCCCACTCTTCAACCCCCACCACTGGACACCCCCACCACTGGACCATGATCTCACATGACGTCACGTGGGGTGAATGACCTAGACCGACCCATGCCTCCCCCCACCACTATGACGTCAATAACGACGTAATGATATAATTAGGGTGACCTCGAACGACATGTCCGACTCATGCCTCCTCCCACCACTATGACGTCATTTGGGGTGAATAACCTAGACCGACTCATGCCTCCCCCCACCACTATGATGTCATTAACGACGTAATGATGTAATTAGAGTGGGGGTGGGAGAGGGTTGGGGTGTGGGGGTGGGTGGGTTGACCTTGGGTCAGATTATCCTTCATGGTGGGGGTGACTCGCACTGTTTAATATAAAAGAAATGCCTGGCACACTATGAAATCAGTATATGAATATATCTGCAGCAGTTAGCAATTGGTAGAGTGTTATTCAGTTCGTAATAGAAAAAAGACGGCGAGTGTATTTGTCTGTTGGAAATTGTTTATATTTTCATATATATTTCCATCATGTCCGTTTCAAAAGTAGACTTGAATGAAATCAATAGTTTGATTGTACAGGAGGTTGAAATACTAGAGCAAAAGACCTTATCATCATTGCCAATTGATGAAGTTTACATAAATGAAAATATGTCAACTTATTCTACACGAAATGGGAATGTGAGTATTATATCATGGAAACAAGTTGGAGGTTGCTAATTGTTTTTTTTTATTTGATTTCAGTTTCACCATTCAAAGATGTGGATGCAGTATGCAAGTCAAGATTGGATCGATGATGTAGATCTTAAATCATCGGTTCAACATTTGTCCTCTAAATTGAAGGTGTTGGGCGATGGAGCCGAACATGCAAGCGTATATGATATGAGTGTATGCTATGATGAAAAAACAATTGAATTATGTCTTCGTGATGCTGAGAACTATCGGGGTGGTGCAGAAGTTTGTAACAAATTTTTGGATAATGAATTGGAACTATGGCAACTTTGTGAGATTATGATTGAACTGAACCTGAGAAGATTCCTGTATAGCCTCCAACCATACTTGCCAGAATGGATTATTCATCACTTTGAATTGAATGATGAAAATCAAGAGGAAATTGAAGATGGTCGCGAAAATGATGACTATGAGGAAGAAGTTATTTTAGATAGTCTGTATGTTCCTGAAAATCATAAATAATGTCAAATAAAAAAACTTTGTATTATTTTCATGTTTTATTTATTTAAATCCCATTATATACAATTGAAAATGATCACAAAACAATAAATATGATATATATGAATTACGAAAAAAAATATAATACATAATATAGGTCAGTTGAAAATGGAAAAAAAATATCATAAAACAGTATATGATAGAGTGAAAAAAAATGAAATAGTATCAATGATTTGAAAAGTGTCAATATCTGCTATGAACTGAACCATCCAAAGCATTGTATGTTAAAACTGTATCATGAAAAATTATTGCATATATTTTAGTGTTGTCTTTATATCAATAGTTGATGATTTTGTTGCATTCGGGTGATGGGAACAATCGATGATGAACAGTGGATTCTCTCTAAATTGTCCAATGTCAATTAGAGGTTCACCCATATCTTTATCATAGTAACTTCGCTGGAAACTCTCAAAAGCATAATGGGCAGAAGCATCAAGTTTTTTATCGAAATTCAATTACCAACGCTCATATGGATAAAATTCAGAATTCAAGTATACTCGAATATTATTGATATCGACACTTGTGAATTTTGTAATATCCTGTGTTCTATCTTCAGATGTGGTAGTACTTTGGAATGCGATGATGACAAAACGAGGAGTTTCCAGAGCGTTAGTTGTTTTGATCGCCCATATGTCTGAAGAAGTCCCACTTAATGATGGTAGTTCATAGAGGTCCCACATACAATAAGCCAACTTGATTTTGGCATTCAGGCCGCTTTTGTTTATTCTACTCATAAGTTTGAGCTTGTGTTTATCATCTGGAACAATATGTCTTATTTTCCATTCGATTTTATTTATTTCCAAATCAGCATCAACCTCACCTATATATGAGTTTTTGAATGATCGAGCGATAGTCGAAATCAATTCCTGTTTAGCATTCAAGATACTTTTGTTGTAATCTTCAGCAAAACCCATCAAATATTTCAGTGGTAGTTTTCCACTGAATACATGACTGTTTGTATCCAAGATATCTTGTTTCAATTGTGAAAGTCCCCAGCCAGATGTCAATAATGTGTTAGCATGTGATTGTCCAAATGATATCATGGTTTTCATTGTAGATGTTATCCCGGGTTTTCTAACAACAGCCACTTGTTCACCACCCATTTCGTTACGAATTTCATCAAAGAGAAATGCAATTGCATTATTCGAGATATCGAATACGTCTTTGAGGGTGAATTTACCTTCTATGTAAATGAAGCTCTCGGCAATATCTAGTATAACATCTTGATTATTGTTGTGATGTTTATAGGTAATGAGGATTCATGTATCTGATTTGGTGGAAAAATGTCATGAGCGAATCCCATCATTTCTGCCATAGAAATTGGATGTGTCAGGTCAATTTCATATTTGGATCGCATTTCACATTTGAATGTATTATTATTGGCGTGTAGATAGAAAATATTATCTGCAACGATATCAGTTGGTTTATTATCATGAAACAATCTGAACATGATATGTTTCTGTATGACGGTATTGATCTCTTCTATTTCGTAAGCACCACATGGAATTTCAATTGTGTACTTTTGGAGTATCGATGAGTTATCATTACTGATTTTGAAACTTACTAAATTATTAGCTTCAGTTATATTATTGATTGTATTGCATCCATAGAATCCCAAAAGTCCTAATCCATAACGGCTGTTCCTATCCAATTCAACTGGTGGAAAAAAATCCGCACTCAAGACACTTGTCCCAACAGCTTGTAGCTCGAACTTTCGTGAAATGACTGATGACTATTTTGAAACACATTTCAATTTATTGCTGTGCACAGCAACAGCACATTTGAAACAATTTACACTTTTTGGAAGGTGTTGTATTGTAATAAATATCATTTTTATTGATAACAATATTCACATCCTCTATATTACAAATACAACACATAGATTTTCGAGGTATAGGACCATCATTACCATCCAAATCTGAATTTTCATCGGGGTGGTGTTCATAACAATATCTATGTTTCATTATATCGATGTCATCTTGTAGATGTTTGGGTAACTTTTCCTAAACATATGCAATCTCATGTGCAACACATGCAAGTATCACTTCCTTGGGCATATTTGCAAGCATCACCTTATCCATTTTTTTCAAGGTACCATATTTTGGAAACATTTTAAGTGAAAACCCCATTTCCTTGATAGCCTCCGATCCAGTTTTGGTGTTGTATCCATTTTTATTTGAAAAATTATTCAGAGAGAAACTGTAAGCACAAGTGAACACAGAGAACTGTATTAAATTTCTGTAGACGATCATAGTTATATTTGATTTTTACATTCGAATATTTTCGAAAGAATCGAGTCAATTCCAATGGTGAGGGTAGATCTCCAAAACTATCGAAATATGCGACTTGTTTCCCACATTTTTTATATGCCACCCAATGTGTTCCTGATCCACTAATTCCATCTAAATTGACAATAGCTGTCTCGTTTTATCTTGGACCTGAAGAGGGTAATCTGTCACGCATAAAAACACCAC